AAATTGACAGCATTTCAAAGATTGAATTTCACGGCCGACGATGTAATAGAGTGTCTAAACATGACCGATAAAGTCCTTGGGATGGGGTCCGCGGGGACCGTGTACAAGGCTGATATGCCAGGTGGCGAGACCATAGCCGTCAAGAAGCTATGGGGGAAGAACAAAGACATGATAACGAAGAGGAGGGGAGTGTTGGCTGAGGTGGAAGTTTTAGGCAATGTGAGACATCGAAACATTGTTCGATTGTTAGGATGTTGTTGTAACAATCAATGTACCATGTTTCTCTACGAGTACATGCCTAATGGAAACTTGGATGACTTGTTGCATTGCAAAAACAAGGGCGATAATTTGGTGGCTGATTGGCTCACTAGGTACAAGATTGCACTAGGGGTCGCTCAAGGAATATGTTATCTCCATCATGATTGTGATCCGGTGATTGTGCACCGCGATCTCAAACCTAGTAACATACTTCTAGATGGGGACATGGAGGCTCGCGTGGCTGATTTTGGAGTGGCTAAGCTAATTCACAGAGATGAATCGATGTCAGTGATAGCTGGATCCTACGGCTACATAGCCCCAGGTATATTCTTATTTTTTAATTTTCAAGAAATTAACTTTAAATTGTATTAGTTAATCATGCCCTAAGAACTTGAAATCATATGCTTGTGAACACCACATTGTTATTATAATTTAGGGCATGTTTGGGTCGGATTTTAATCTAAGTCAAAGTGAAACAATCAATATTAACCACATCTTTAATGGGTATCACATCTTTTCAACCACACATTTCAAAAATTTCTATCACAATCCACTAAAAATCTAACTTTAATTCTCACCAAACGCGTATTATTTTAGTATTCAACGTTTTTTTTTTCCTTGGGGGTGGGATTTATTAATGATCTTTGGTCATGTTAGTTTTTGTTCGTTTTGTAGGGTGATGAAATGTGACCCCTGAGTGCTTAATGTGGTAGTACCATATGCTTAATGGGTGGTCGATCTTGTGTCTTTGTCATTAAGTGCTTCATTATTCTTGAACTAAATAAATTAATAGGAAGTGCTCCTTTCGGATCACACTAGCAAATTAATAATGCCACATCAACGTGTTAAGTATGACGTTACTTAGTAGATTAATTTTCATTTTAAGTTCGAATTATAACCACAGTGCATGGTGGAGGTGCAAGATACCCCACCCCACCCACTCTCACACACTTTATGTGCATGCTAGAGTAAACAAGAAGCGTGGTGGAGCACAGCCTATTTTACTCTTTTTACTCTGTGTCTCCGTGATTTCCTATTGTTTCAGTGCATTGCCCACTATTGAGCGTGCAGTGCTCTTTTTCTACAATTTTCACTTTTTTTTCTTTTTCTTGTACTTGGACCCACTAAGATTTTGTCAATTAGAGTTTGCAAGAATTGACTTTTGATGAAAAGTTCAAACATTTTATGGGCTTCTACAATTTTTCCTTATTTTTTGGCTCGAGATATAATATGGATTTTTATTTTCTGGTTTGCAGAATATGCTTATACGTTACAAGTTGATGAGAAGAGTGATATTTACAGTTATGGAGTAGTGTTGATGGAAATTTTGACCGGAAAAAGATCGGTTGAGACAGAATTTGGTGATGGAAATAGCATAGTCGATTGGGTGAGGTCCAAGATTAAGATCAAGAATGGTATAAATGATGTGCTGGATAAAAAGGCTGGTGCAACATGTACCTCTGTGAGGGAAGAAATGATGTTACTTCTTAGGGTGGCATTGCTATGCACGAGTCGGAATCCAGCAGACCGGCCGTCAATGAGGGACGTTGTGTCGATGTTGCAAGAGGCCAAGCCGAAGCGGAAATTGCCCGGGAGTGGCGGAGGTGGCTGTGATGATGGGGTAGTTGATGGTAGAGATATATATTTATACGAGGCAAAAAAACCAACAGTTGAATGTTAATATGTTTGAGTTGTTTTGGCTCTCTCTGTTTTTTCTTCTCTCTCTCCCTCTCTCTCTTTTTTTTTCAGCTTCGAATTGTGGGGATTGGTATAGGAGAAGTAATTTTTCTTTTATATTTTCATTAATTAATGGAAAACTCGAGAATTATCGTTGCACTGTTTTTTTGGTTCTTGAACTCTAGCATTCAACTCATCAAACTACTCACAGCTCCAAGACAATGTTTTGCATTTAGGAATAGGATTTTGTATGGTGCACATAAAAGCTAAATGTTGATAAAACGTTTACTAGTTTAGTACATACATTACATAAAATAAATTTTATCATGTCTCTCTTGTCATCAACCATGTTCGACAAAACGAACCAAAGCAATAGTACTGCCAAATTTGATGAAATCTCTCTTCCTTATAGCATGTTATATTTTATGTTGGTAAAATATGCTTTTTATCTACACATATCATAAAATTCAATATAATTCACAACTTATAAGCAATCCCAAAAATGCAAATTGTTGTCGAGAGAGATTCAGTGAACAATATTTATTGTAAATTATAAACAGAACAAGTACTACAATAGAATATAACAATGGTTACTATTTCAGAAAATAATACTGCGTAAATATGTAATCGTTAAGAAGACAAAATTGTGCAAATCGAGGCCCATGTATTACACAATTGTCCTTAAAATAGATTCGACATCTCACTATAGGTGCTTGAAGTTTAATTCGAACGTATGTTTCTCAGTTAACAATGGAAAATTAATAGAGTCTGCGCACTTCCGATAAACTGAATTATATATGACCACGACCACCAAGGCTTCGATAGGAAGCAAAATTATTTGCAGACAAAATACTGAAAGTGGTATGCAGACAAGAAAGAGAAGGAATTCGTGGGCATCTGACATTGAAAAAACCGGTGCTATACATAGGCTCCAACATGAACGGTAACGACTCCATAATGAATGACTTTACAACTAGCAGTTATGTGTGTGATACAATTAACATCACCATTAACCCACCATTACATTTCGGTTTTCAGAGTTGAAGAGTCCGTTGGAAGGAAAAAAATTAACAATTTATGGGAAATACAATCAAAACGTGGACACTCTTAATGGGCTAAATTTTGCTCCATTCGATCCGACATTTGTGTATACGGGTTACTCAGGCACACAAGTTCAAAGTCCAAAAAACGTGAACACTTTTAAGGGACCATTTTTTACTCCGTTCATTTTGACATTCGTACACGCAAGTCAGCCAACACACAAGTTCAAGATCCGAACTTTTGATTTGATCTTTTGATTTGAACCCCCACTCTTAAGGGACCAATTTTTACTCTGTTCAATCTGATATCCGTGTACGTAGGTCACGTTAGCACACAAGTTCAAGGTTCGGAGTTTTGATTCGATATTTGATTTGCACCCCCACTGCTCGATCACATGAAAAGAGCATCTATGTTATACATGATTACACATTTCCAAAATGTAATTATATGTTCTGTTCATTGCTTTATTCATTATCCCATGTGGGACAAATTACATTTAATTTTCCTTACAACACAAAATCATCTTTCAATGCATCAATTATGAGCTTCAGTTTATCATTCACACAAGCATAATTTTTGACAAATAAATATATAATTTCAATTTATAGCACTTTTGAGTTGGGAAATTTTTTTACCATTGTTCGCCCGGAGATTTCGAATACATTATGGTTAATGTAGATGCTTTTGCAGTGAATATCTCGAGTCTGCTACTTGTGCAGAAAATTCAGAGGCAAAGGAGGCAAGAACATCAGCTGCTTGGAGCTCGTAGAATTAAAACACAGCACCTATGGTGGGAGGGATATTGTTGGGCATCCTTCAGTTGAAATGCTTTGTACGCTAGACATCATATGTTGGAATTAATTGATATATTTGGATCATTAAATATGTTATTTAATGNATTCACTAAGAAAGGAGAAGGCCTATTGCGTGATTCGTCCGGTTGAACCTCCTTCTTCAGTCGGGAGGCAGACCAGAAGAGAAGTATGTCTCAGCAGTCTAAAAAGCGTATCGATGTTTCAAGCACCGGGTCATTCTTCTTTATATTATATTGTTCCAGTTCCGAGGCAGTCGCATCAAAATGAGGCTGCAACAAAAAAAAACTATCAGTGATTGGGCCATTCGCTCCTCGAAGGAGGGGGATCTTGTGTGGTTCAAGGTCTTCTCGCTTCCCTCTCTTTAATTTAAGGTTATTTCGGATTCCGGCTTTCATTTTAATAGAGAGAGCTGCTCTGAACAGAAGATTTTTCCTATTTTCCGTAGGTAAAGCTGGCTAACCAAAGGTTCTTTTTCAGCCGTTGACAAGTGGTCTCAACTTGCTCATGTGACGTATTTTCTCTCCCTTTTCGTCGAAACAAGACCACTACCCCTCGTCCCAATTCGAATCTTCATGATTCAATCCTCGTGAGGGGCTTCCCATGTTGAACGAGACGAACTGTTGGTTCTACCTCTTAACTCAAGCTGGCCATCGAGTTGGGTTTCCACTCCTTTAGCTATAAGTGGTCTGCTTTCAAGAAGAATAAGAAGACTGGTGGGTGCGCTTCCGACATGCGATTTATAGATTAGAAAGATGACTATTTGTTCAGCCATCAAGCTTCATGCTTTCTCGAGGAGCGGGTTCTGTCCCCTAAGCCGATGAGCGCTATGTCTAAGACTATAACCCTTCCCTCAACACGTGGCCTTCTTTTTCTACCTCTCTTTCACTCTGCTTGTTTAGCTTTACATCCGTCACAAGATATCATTTCCAATACATCCGCGGGGCTGGCTCACTATGGAAATCTAAACCACCCCCTCTCTCGGAGTAATGCACCATTTCTAACATAAATGTAAATATCTCCAGGAAACAGTACTACTACCAAAGCCATTATGCATTAAAGTTACCAAGAAATAAGCACAAAATTCAGATGTCATTAACCTAAAAATTAGGCATGTTCAAGGTAATATCCTGAAACAACTTTCCAAAAGAAAAACTCCAACAGTAACTAGGGTACGGCCAATAAAAGGAATCAAAATTGTCAAGAAGAAGATCAACGATAACGACGAAGGGAAAGGGTCTGGTTCCTCTTCCAGGTAGCCCTTCTAGAGGGGCGTGCTTTGTGGTTCAAGTGGCCCTTTCCACGGAGACCTCTGTACTTCTTTCCAGCTGAGGTGAGGCCACGAAGCTCCCTGTGCTTGTGAACTGGATTGCAGATCCAGTTGATCCTTGGGTCATTTCTGATTGCATTATGAGCCGGATCAACCAATATTACCTCAAAGTACTTGTAAGTCGAATCCTGCAGTGATTAACAGTTACCAAATGGCTTCCAAGAATATGAAGACTAACACTACTTGAAGAGAAAGACATGCCACTAAGAATTTCAATAATCTTTAATTGACAGGCAGAAGAGAACAGTATATAGCAACACCTTGCTTAAATATATATTTTGATTTACTACATTCTTATTTGGTTTAATTATTATTAAATTGACGCTGGTTTGTGGGTCCGTGGATGAGTAAGACGATATGAACACTAGATGCCCTTTAAACAAATAAGTAGTACACTTCGAAAAAAATTAATCAATCAAGTTACAAAATCAAAGAGACAAGGTCATCCAGCCTTCATTGAAAGGCCTACTTACTACCACTATAATAGTCAAATCTGAAATAAAACAACAATAACAATAATAATAATAAAACAAAAGAATAAACTTCAAATTTTCTTTGATGCAAACCTCGTTGATCCAGTACGAATTCAGAACCTTAAGACCACCAAGTTTCCTTCCAGCACGCTCCTCTGCAACTGAGCGCTTGCTGCGTTGGAATTTTAGTTGAGTAACACCCTGGTTTGTAGGCTTACCGTACACAATACCCTTGGGAACTGGCCTCTTCCTTCCACCCCGCCTCACACGTACACGGTAGATCACAAACCCCTGAAGGTAGCATTCAATCACTAAGCATGAAACCACCAAAATATGGTAAACATGAACATTACAACAGTCACCCAAAGATGAAATAATTTCATCCTTTTGACATGGATGAGAAAATCATTATCTGTATATATTCATTGCATCATATAATAAATATTTTCCAGCAAGACATCTAATCAAAAGCTTTGCATAAAAAACAAATGGATTTTCCTTAACAACTAAAAAATATACATATACTTCTGAATAAACCAGGGAGACGAGAGTCTAGGCTGCAATGAACTTGTCTTCAATCGTGAAGGCTTAAGTAGGTTCAGTAGAATATAACAAAATCTATGTAGTTGCAAACATAGACGACAACATGAAATTATAAATCCAATAAAATCAAATGAAGTTAAAAAAAACTTAAACATTAAGACTAAGTATTTAAGAACAAGACCCTAAACCAAGGTCTCATAGCTACAGTTATTCACAGTACCATAAGCCCCCAATCTAAAGTCTTTTTCAAATATAGAAACTAGGGCTGGGCAAAATGTCCGAACCGAACCGAACCGAACCGAACCGAGCGGGTTTTTAAAAATGAAATACCCGAACGGGTATCCGAATCGAGAACCGAATGGTTTGGTTCGGTTCTCGGTTCTCGACCAAGAACCGAAGAACCGAATAAGAACCGAACTTTTTTTTTTATATTGGATAAATTAATTTCTTTTATTTTTTCTAAACAAATTAATAA